CCCCAAAACCCCAAAACCCCAAAACCCCAAAACCCCAAAACCCCAAAACCCCTCTCTGTTATAAATATATTGAAAATGGATAACAGGAACCCAGTGCATTTAAACGTAAAACCTGAACTAATTTTGGTCTGATAAGCCAGATCTCACCCTGAATTTAGAAAATAATCAATAGTTTCAAAGAAAGGCCGAATCTGGATAGTAATTTTAAGTTCAATGAGGTAATACCATAGCTAAATTTCAGCGTAAAATGAAATAAACTCGAGAGTCATAGTACCGTTCACCTAGCTAAAAACTTGAACCCGAGTTATATCACTAATGAACTAGACAAAATCAAATAAACAAATGTACGAAGATGCGAACAAGTAATTCCAATATAACCAGTAGAGAAATGTCGATTGACTTCCTACATTACATGAACAGTAGGTTTAAACTCAGCAGGGAGAATGATAACATGAGACGGAAAATCTTCCTCAACTACAAGTAGCCTAATTGTCTCACTCTAGAAACTCAGATCAGAACAAACTCGCAACACGAGTAATTTGTGTCTTATATTTTAGATGATGAAGGAAAAGAATTTCAGAATTAGGAGAAAGGAAGCCAAGATAAAACGGAAAATTGATAGACAGTTTCAGCCAGGCAAAACTAACCTTTACAAAGCTATCCAGAAGAACCTTGAAGGGGGGAGAAGGAACCTCAATGATCACTTCAAGAGATACCAAGATGAGACCTCATGGTTTGACTTTGAGAAGTTTTATTGCTCTCTCAAAGCTAAATAATGTCAAACATTCTCCAAACGAGAAAGATGCTAAAATTTTTCTGGAAACAGATCAATTCTCTAAAAGTTCAGAAGAAACTGAGAGTCTGAGATCAAAACAGAAAACAGCGGGGTCCAAGGTCAAATCTAAAAAATCGACTACGAAAATATAAGGAAAAGTTCCACTAAGACTGGAAAGAGCTCTCTGGTAATCTTCAGTACTTATAAATAGAAAAGAAAATCCACTAAGGCTCTCAGTAAGAATACAATTCCAGAGGTAATCCCAGAGGTACAGGAGAATAGCCCCAAATCAAAGAAGAATGATGCTAAGATGGCTGAAAGAACAAAGATGACAAAATAAGTTGTTGGCTAAATCAATTCTTAAGTTCATAAACCCCAAAACTATTAAAGCAAAGTCCTTCAAAAAGAAGAAAGAAAATTTGCTTCAGATCAAGAAGAAGGTGAATTCAGGGTTTAAGCAGAAATCTACTAAAAGTAAGGCTTGATCTGACTGTTTATAGCCCATAAATTCACAGTTGATTCTCTAGGTAATAAATCTCCCAACTCAGGAGAGATGTTGCCAAAGATCAGCAATGCATCTCTAGAAAGCAGGGGTCTTGCTAGCGAAAGTGGGAAACAAATTATGCATCAACGAAGTAATTTCTCTAATACTGCAAAAGAAAAAGGTGAGTGTTATCTATGAAATTTTCAACATCTTCCATGTATTTTACCTGTAAAGTGTGGATAAGGCTTACCATTCTAGTGAATAAACCAAAATCTAAAATAAAAGTACAAAAGAGTAGTTTTTTGACATCGCCCAGGGGAAATTTCAGCTTTAGAAAGAGAAGTGCGACGATCGCTCCCCAATTTATCATGAATAACTAGGTCTGAAATGGATTTTTCTTATTAAAATTTATAACACAGCTTATAAAATTTCGCAATTAATAACTTCAGCCAGTCGATATAATAATCGAAACATGGGGTTTTGGGGTTTTGGGGTTTTGGGGTTTTGGGG